TGTGTATATATCTGTGTGTATGTGTATATATGTGTACGTGCTATGAATGTGTATATGTGTAGGTGTGTATGTGTATATCTGTGTGTCTGTGTGTCTGTGTGGGTACTTGCTTCCCTTACCCCTGAGTCTGTCTGTGCACACTTGTCAGAGGAGGAGGAAGAGGCAAACTGAAAAGGCAAATTAAAACAGGGTGAGGCCCCTTGGTCAGGCTAACAGGTTTGGGCTTGGTTTTGTGGCCAGTGGGAGCCATTGCAGGTCCCTAATCTGAAGATTAGCCCCTCTGCCTGCCGCAGGCACAGAGGGAGAGGAAGATCAACTCCAAGTTCAGTGAGTCTGAACTAAGCATGACCATGCAAATGGAGAGAATAGGATAGAAGAATGGAGAAGACTTGGCACTTGGTTGGACATTGGAGGAAGAATCAGAGATTTTTGTGCCTGGGGTCTGGAAGATGGTAGAGCAGCTAGGTGGAGCTGGCAGGCAGGCCAGCAGAGTGCCTGTCTGGAGTCCAGGAGAGAGGTGAAAGCTGGTGCTGCAGACCAGGAGGGGCTTGGGGTGGTGGTCTTGGAACCTCTGGAAGTGTATGAGATTCCCGTAGAAGGAAGGACAGGAGACTAGGAAAGCCAGGCCAGAGCCAGGGGGAATGGGACATCTGGAAGGTGGCAAGAGGGAAAGCTGGGGCAGAAAACCACAGATGCCAGGGCCCTATCCCGAAGCCAAGGTGGGAGACAGGGAGCTCTGACTGTATTGACTGGCTGTAACTGGAAGCCAACAGCTGGGACCCTGAGAAGGGGCTGCTGACATGCTTCCCAGCACACCTTGGTTGGAGGGTTGGCTAACTCCCAAAAAACCTTCAGCTTAGGATGGCTGAGTGACTGACTCATCAGGGTCACACAGCATGAGGTGGGCAGTCCTTTTTCCTTCTAGGTTTAATCCTTTTTGCTATTTTTCCAGCTCTGACCTTCCCCGGAACTCCAGGCTCTGCTCCCCGGATGGGTCAAGTCCCCCCCACTGCCCCCTGGGGAATCCCGATCCTCACTCCCGTTGTGTAGATGGGGAGACTGAGGCCTCAGGGTCCTCCGAGGGCAGGGATCTCACCCTTTCTGCCTCTTGGTGTATGTCTGTCTGTCTCTCCCCCTAGTCCAGGGACCGGAAGCTGGCTGGGGACATGAATGGGGCCTTGAGCTACGGAAACACCTCCAAACAGTTGAACATCTCTGCCGCCATCTTGAACGTGCTGCTCCTCATTTTCTTCACCATCCTGTTTTTTATTTATGTGGTTCCCTTGATCCGGATGCTGTTCAACTATCAAAGGTATCTCTAGGCTCCAACCCTGCACCCCTCAGGGACACCTGCATGCTGTCCCAGTCCTGTTTCCCTAGATCCCCTCACCTAGCCCCACTCCTTTATCCAGCAGAGCAGCCCCTATGACCCCACAGACACCCAGAAGCCTGGAACACTCAGTGCCGGGGTCAGAGTGGGCATTAAATAAATTCAATAAATCAATTGGTTTCTGTCTCCGTCGTGTGTGTCAGGGCCTCTGGCTACTAGCAAAGTTTCTACAAATGTCAGAGTCGGACACGACTGAAACGACTGAACGACAATGACATAAATGTCTCCGAGTCCCTCTAATCCTCCCTCCATTTCCTCCAGATCCTCAGAGTTCAAGTCATCCTTTGTGGGACTGGAGTGGGATGAGGGTGGGGTGGTGATGGGAAGGTCTGAGAGGAAAAGGACATTCTAGGCATCAAGCTGAGCAAAGGAAAGGACCAGGGAGAGTCGGGGAAAGAAGGGAGATGTCCAGCTTGGCCTCAAAGCAGGCGATGCTGAAGAGCTAGACAGGGGCAATTAGGGATGGAAACCATGCTTGGCTTGAAGAATTAGGTTCTTTAGGGGGAGACTGGGAGGCAGTTCTATAGCTGGGCAAGCCCTGGCTCCAACACATCCAAAGGGGCCTTGGCCACTTCGCCTGCCCTGTCTCAGTACGCTCAGCTGTTAAATGATGATGTTCTCTGAGTTCTCTGCCAGCTCCCGATCTGCGATCTTTAGCAGAGAGGGTCCCTGCCTTCTGGGAGTTTCCCACAAATAAGCTGAAGTCTGAAAGAGGAAGAGGAGGGGAGAGAAATTATTGGTAGTAGGAGAGAGTCCTGGAGCACAGTCCCCAGAGCGGGCGCTAGGAAGCTCAAGATTTTAGTCGAGATCTGGATTCAAATTCTGTGTACTACCCTTAGGGCAAGTCTCTTTGCCCCTCCGTATCTCAGTGTCCCACTGTGAAAATGGGAATAGATTAGATGACCAGTGACCTGGGTGGGGGGGGTGGTGGTGAGTGAATGGTGTCCTAGACCGCCACCTCCTAACCCAGAGAGACACTACCCTGTCCTGGACTCCTGCAGGTGTGCCAAGGAGGCGGAGACAGCTAAGGCTTGTCCATGAGGCTCTTCTGTTTTGTTTTTGTTTTTGTTTTGATGAGGCAATTGGGGTTAAGTGATTTGCCCAGAGTCACACAGCTAGTGAGTGTTCTGTGTCTGAGCATGAGGCTCTTCTGACTTAGACACGGGACGGGGCACAGGGCAAGGGTGATGTTTGCATCCCTTTGAGATCAGGTAGCACCAACCTGGATTGGCCACAAAGAAGCAGGTCTGAGGACATGTTCAGGGATCACCATTTCCACACAAGCAAAGAGAGATTCCACATCTTTGGGACAGCTATAGTGTGGGAGCCATAGGGTTGAAAGTTGACCAGAGGATTAGTGAGAACAAAGCAGAGCCAGAAGTTGGAAGAAGAGTGGGGCTGCACTGAAAAGTCTTGGCATTCTCCCAGGAGCAGAGGACTGTGGGGTCAGAGGAGCACTTGAAGATGACTCTCAGAAGTGGGGAAGGTGAGGGTCCAAGAATCTCGGGTGTTTCCAGCTCAGTTCATCAGCCAACCCTATATCAGACTGTGATTGATTCTGGGCACCAAGGTTCAGGGACATCTGATGGCATGTCCCCAGGAGGGCAGGCAGGATGGGGAAGGATTTGAGGGATTGGGCATGTCTGGCCAGAAGACAAGACTCCAGGGTGAAATGACAGTTGGCTTCCAGTTTTGTTCTGCTCAAGGGCAGAACTAGGAGCCCGGGGGAGGTGGGGCAGGGGAAGTTACAAGGAAGCCATTTTAGGCTGGACACCAGCAAGAGCATCTTCATCTTAACAGCTGTTCCAGGGTGGAGTGGTTTCCTCCTGATGTCATGGTTCCTCCTCCCCCTCTTCCCCTTCCCTTCACAGAGAGCCTGGATAGTCCTCTTTTGGAGATGTTCTACGGGGAATCTGGAAAAGGAGGACCCTGTTTGGATGACTCAGTCCCTTCCACCTCTGAAATCCTGAGTGGGAGCTGTGGGGACCAGGGCAGATCAGGGGAATTGGAAATTGATTCCCTGGACCAAGATCAGGAAACATGGGCAATGTCACGCAGGGACACTCCCACACCCCAGGGTTGGGAACCTACATCCTTGTCCCTTGGACTCCCAAGACCGTATGCAACAGGGACAGTATGGGCTATAAGGGACAGTCATTTTACGAAGAGCAGGCAACTTCTGTAGATTAGGACAGTCAAACGGAGAAGGATGAGCACATTTACAAAGAGCCAGCCTGGCTTCCTCAAGAAGGGCCACCATGTCAACATCATTTCCTTCTTGGCAAGATTACCTAACTTATAGGTGGGGATGCTGTGGATACAGTTCACCTCGATTTTAGCCAAGTGTTCTTGTGGAAAAGATGGAGAGATACAGATGAGACAAGAACACAGTCAGATGGACTGGGAAACACAAGGAATACCTCTTAATGACTCCATGCCCACGTGGCAGAAGGTCTCCAGTGGAGTGGATCCCTGTCGCCAGGGATCTGGGCTCAGTCTAGCATTTTATCAGTGCCTTGAATGAAGGCATAAATGGCTTGCTCATCCATTTGAAAATGACCCTAAGCTAATGACCCAATGTCCCCCAAGAGGGACAGTTCATACAGTGGATGAGAGAGCCAGGGTCCAAAAGGCTCTTGGCAAGTAAGATGCTAAGATGAAATCCAATTGTAACAAATGTTGTCTTATACTTGGATACAAATCAATCAGCTTTGAAAGGGAAAGAGAGATGGGCATTGTTGGGCAGCAGCTGTTCTGAGGGAGATCTGGGGGTCTTCATGGACCCCAAGTTCAATATGAGTCAGTGGTTCATGTGTGTGTATGGTAGTGTAAGTAGCAGCCAGAAAAGCTGATTGAACCTTGGGTTGCATTAACCGGGAAGAAGGGAATAAGTAGTGACTGAGGGCCTACTCTGCCAGGTCCTGTGCTAAGCACTTTTCAGACGTGATCTCCTTTGATGACCTCATTAAGAGAGGCAGAGCACTGAGGATGAGGGCCATAATGGTAGAGGTCCTCCTCTACCCTGCTTAGATTTTATTTGGAGGACTGAGCTCTGTTCTGGGCACTCCGATTTTAAAGGGACATTGATAAGCAGGAGATTGTCCAAAGAAGGGCACCCTGGAAGGTGAAGGGCCTTGAATTCAAGTCATGTGAGGAGAGAGGAGGGAAGTGAAAGGAACAGATGCCTGCTGTGTGCCAGGCACTGGGATGAGTGCTTTACAAAGACTGTCTCATTTGACCCTCACAACAATCTTGCAATATAGGTGCTATTTATGATGATCCCCATTTACAGCTGAGGAAACTGAGGCTAACAGAGATGAAGTGACTGACTCAGGGTCCCAGAGCTAATAAGTGTCTGAAGCCAGATTTGAATGGAGGTCATTCTGACTCCAGGCCTGGAGCTCTATCCACGGTGCCACTAAGCCTAATTCTGTCTGGGTATGCTGAAGGAACTGAGGATGTTTAGCCAAAGAAGGAAGTTGGCTGGGGCCAAGAGGTGAGAGGAGATGGGCAAGAGAACTGGACGTTGTCATCAGAGGGAGGCTTAGACTGGTTTTCTTTGGCCCCAGAGGGCAGAACCAAGGAGATGAGTAGAAGATACAAAACGGCCAATGCAAGGTTGATGTCAAGAATTTCCTAATAATCATTGCTATCTGAAGGTGACTGGGAATGTCTCACTGGCCTGCCTGTCACCTCCAACAGAAAAAAGCAAGTTTGGAAGAAGAGAGTGGGAGGGTTTGAGGGAAAGATAATGAATCCTATTTGGGACATGTTGAGTTCAAGATGCCTCTGTGATGTCGAGTTTGAGACCTCAGTTGGTGATAGGCTGTTTCAAAATGTGGTGGGTTAGGGTCAAGCTGGAGGACCTCTTGCTAAAGAGTTGAGGGTACGATGCAGCTAGGTGGTGCAGTGGCTAGAGCACTGGCCCTGGAGTCAGGAGGACCTGAGGTCAAATCCAGTCTCAGACCAGACATTTGACACTTACTAGTTGTGTGACCCTGGGCAAGTCACTTAACCTCAACTGCCTCACCAAAAATAGATAAATAAATAAAAATAAATTAATTAATTAATAAAGAGTTGAGGGTAGAGTCTCCTTTGGCATTCTATCCAGCTGGTTACTCCATCTAGCTGGTTGCTGAGATAACTTCCCATGCTCAAAGTCTGGGGTTTTTACTCAAAAGTGGAGGTGAGGCGTTGGGGGATGCCCTGTGGAGAAGGGGGTTGGTAGTCTGAACTATCTGAAGGCATGGGTGAATCAGGGAGATCGCATTGTATCTGGAGAGGCCTTAGAAGAGCCAGAGAAGATGGCAGAAGGTCAGCCAGCATGACTTTGGACAGGAGCCAAGTCCCTAGTTCCGAAGGACCTCAGCCTAGAGGGAGGGCTGAAAAGAGCCCGGTGCTCATTCCTGGCATGTGTCTGAGGAACACTGGAGAGCTGGCCACACTCCCCAGAGGGTTTGTGAATGACTATGCCATCGTCACTCAGTCCCCAAGCATGGATGAGGCGCTGGAGCTGCTCTGTGATCTCCCGGAGGTGATGGCAAAGAAGAAACAAATCCAAGAGGCCAAAGAGGCACTTGGCCTTGAACACTTAAAGAGGTCTCTGGGCACCTGGGCTAGAGAGGAACAGACCCTTTGTCCTGCAAGGCCTGGGAGCTGTGTGCCACCAGACCAGTGGAATGTCCCCACTACTTTCTGAGACTTTGACTACATTGACTTCCATCCATCAATCAACAAAAGAGACATAAAATCCAGAGGGTAGAATTAAAATCCAGGTCCTCTGACTCCAGAGTCAGCATTCTTTCCACTGTGCTGTCCTTTGTCTTTTTACAGGTGAGGAAACTGAGACCCAGAGAAATCTAGTGACTTGCCCAAGGTCATACATTACACAAGCCACAAAACAGAAGAAATCCTGGCTCTGACACTATTTTCGTGATCTTAGGAAAGTTACCTCAACTCCCTTGGGGCTGGACTAGGCCCCTGAAGCTACTAGCACCCCCAGCTCTCTGACCTTCTGATTGTTTTCAGGTCCCTTCCAACAAAAAAATCTACAATCCTGCAAAGTAACAAGAAATAAAGATGTTGAGGTGTGCAAGGCTAAGATGTTTGCTTTTGAAAGTCTAGAAGGGGTGGGGATCCTGTGGCCTTGAGGCCACATGTGGCCCTCCAGGTCCTCCAGTGTGGCCCTTTGACTGAATTCAAACTTCACAGAACTAATCCCCTTAATAAAAGGATTTGTTCTGTAAAACTTGGACTCAGTCAAAAGGCCATACCCGAGGACTTAGAAGGCCATGGTTCCCCACCTCTGGAGCAACGGGAAAAAGGTGCTTGAGGGCAGGCATGAAGCATAAAGAAGACCTTTGCCCTACAGTAACCCATCTTTGGGAAGAACTTGGTTTCTCTTCTCTGAATGAGAGTTATGATTTCCTGGATTGCATGCTTTCACAAGGACAGGAAATGAAAGAGGGTGGGGAGTTTACTGGATTTGGCTTTCCCAGAACTATTCATGTGGGAGATGCTGCCTAAATAGGGGCACGAGTGTCATGAGATAGCAGGATGTTTACAACACAGGTGGTGGGGCAGGTCCAAGGTGGACTGAGTTGCCACATGCCACATGGTCTGCAGCAGAAGTTCTGGGATGTGGAAAAACCACTGAGCACACTGGTGACCACTAGACACCAGCGTTCACCTGGCAAGCGGTCAGGACGTGGTTGCTGCTTCCAACACACAGTTAGGCCATAGTTTTCCCCCTCTTTCTGCCTTTGATTTGGGGGGGGGACTGTCAAGCAGGCATCAACAAGTTTTTAAGTACTTACTATGGGCCCAACACTGTGCTAAACACCATCTGGGGCTGAAAAGAAAGGCAAAGGACAGCCCTGATGTCAAGGAGCTCACAACATGCAAACAACTGGGGCCGTGCAAGAGATGCAGAGTGTAAATTGGAGGTAATCTCAGATGGGAAGGCACCAACATTCAGGAGGACTGAGAAGGGTTTCCTGTGGAAGGTGGGATTTTAGCAGAGTCTTGAAGCAAGTCAGACAAGCAAGGAGGCAGAGGCGAGGAGAGAGTGTTCAGCCCTGGGGGACAGCCTGTATAAAGTCAGGGAGAAGCAGGCAGTGGAAGATGGAGAAAGGGGTTTGTACAGTGGCAGTGAGGGGTCCAGAATCCCTTGTATAGGGAGACTCTAGGGAGTGGCAGATAGCATGCTCACTGCCGAGGAACTTGTTCAGGCAGAGTGTCAGTGGCTGGAGAGAGCTCTGGTGAGGAAGGTAGATGATTAAGCTGTGCAAAGTCCAGTAAGATGGCAGATAGTGATGGAGTATTCTGGAGGCTTGCCTCACAGCCTGAAGAAGCAGGGAAGTGCCTCCCCCATAGGACCCTCCAAGGGAGTCCAGGCAGGATACAGGGTGTGGCAGTAAGTGGGACTGCAGACAAAATGGGTATTGTGTGTGAGCCTGGAGGAGGGGCTGGGAAGGGAAGCAGAAACCGGGGGAGTTATGGTTACCCCAGGGCTGAATAAGGCCTTGGGGTGAGAACAACCGCTGAGCTGGTACAGGACATTCTGAGGGCTCTGGATGGGACAGAGACTGAAGTTCAAGGGTGGGTGCTGGCATCTTCCTCTGGTCACATTTCTGCCCATCAGATCCCAAGGGTATCCGAGGCTTCTACTGGGAAATTAGGAGTGTCACCCTCTTAGAAAATGTGGCCTGTGAACAACTGCTCAGGAGTCTGAAAGTGATGCTTTAATTTCTAGTGTATTCGGTGGAGTCCAAAGCTGAAAGAGAGGTTAGAGCTCAGACAGTCATTGTGCATTTATTAAGCAGCTACTATGTGCCCTCCCAGTGCTAAGTGATGAGAATTCGAAGACTAGGCAACAATCCTTGCAATCTAGGGGCTGACAGTCTGATGGTGCAGACAACAAGGACACATATCAGGACATATATGGCCAAATTAAAGAGAAAAAATAAAAAGCAGTTGGGGGGAAGGCATGGTGGGGAGGGGAGGACCAGGAAAGATCTCTTCCTGCAGAAGGTGGGGCTTGAGTGAGTCTTGAAGGAAACAGGGGATTCTAAGGGGTGGAAAGGAGAAGAGACTGTACATTTGGGAGGGAGGGTCCTGGGGGAGGAATAACCAATTTGGTTGAATTCCAGCATACGGGAGGGGGAGGAATGCCCAATGAGGCTGGAAAGAGAGATTGAGGCAAGGGAGCAGAATTTTTATGAAACTAGGTATTTGGACACATTTGGATGGGAACCAGAGCTGAGAATTCTGGCTGCTGTAGTCCTGGAGAGCTAATATTCCCTCCCAGCCCTGGAAGAGACTGGGACTAGCAAAAGCTTGGAGCTGGCAGATAGGAGTTTGCAAGCAGCCTGGGAGGCGATGGGAGGGCTGGAGGCAGTAGCACAGGTCCCTCAGATCCCTGTGATGGTGGTCAGATCCCTTCAGGTGTCTTCTGGTGTGAGCACCAGAAATGGGCACTAGGCAGAGGAGTCTGGATTCAGTGAGCATTTGGACCATGCCAGTGGTTTCCATCAGCCATTGGAAACCCGGGGGAAAGCTAATAAAGGTTGGGTTCCCCCTCACTTTCTCCATCCAGATGCATTTGTACCTCCCATGGTTTTTCTCACTATTTCCCCAAACTATTTTCTGAGTTTCTTGCCCATAAAATTCAGCAAGTGATCATGACCACTTCAGGCTGCATGTCTAACTCAGGGGCAAATGGAAGGTGCAGTGGATAGAGTGCTAGGCTTGAAGTCAGGAAGACTCTTCTTCTTTGTTCAAGTCTGGCCTCAGACACTTACAGCTAGTATATGTGTGACCTTGGGCAAGTCACATAACTGGTTTGCCTTAGCTCCTCACCTACAACATGAACTGGAGAAGGAATTGGCAAACCACTCCAGTCCTTTGCCAAGAAAACCCCAAATATCATCACAAAGAAGCAGACTGAAATGGCTGAATCACAAAATAACGGGAGAGATACAGAGTCCCATGTGGACCGAGACCAACTTCCTTCTAGGCTAAAGAGCGAGCTATTGTAACTATAACCAGTTATGTTCGATGGGAGACCCTTAGGCAAATCTCTGTTGGGAGGGCACGGGGGAAGAAAACCGCCTCAACAATGAGACGGGAGCTCCAACTTTGCTCCAGTGATGACACCTGCTTGGTTACATGTACTTTATCCCAAAGGGAGCCGCTGGATCTTATTGAACTGGAGTGAGAATCAGAGAGTGCCTCAGGGAATCCCAAAGTGAGGGGGCATGACATGGATACTGAGCCAGCAAAGGAGATTGAGAAGGAAAGATCAGAAAGATGATGGGAAGAGAACCAGGAGCGTTTGCATGTCACAAAAACTCAGAGGAGTATCTGGAAGGAGAGGATGGTCCACCACATCCTTGTGGAGAGGTCAACAAGAACGGGGATTAAGACCACCAGCTAAGACAATGAAAAGATCGCTGGTAATTTCAGAGAGAGCAAGTTCAATTCCTCGATAAGATCTGAAACCAAAAGGGTGGAAGAGCGAGTGAGAGGACAGGATGCCCATTCAACAAGCTTGGAGACTCGGACATGTTTGAACGCAGAAGATGGGGAGAGATGGAAGGTCTGAGGGCTTGGAGATGGCTGAGGGCGCCATCTGCTGGAGAAGATGGGAGGGAAGGGGATCAGCCAGCGTGGAGAGAGGCTGACCTGGGCAAGGGAAACGGCTTACCTTTTTGTCAGAAAATGGGGGGAAGGAGGAGATGGGCTAGGCTTTAACACTAAGAGGTTTTGGGGTGAAGAGAGTGAGAGCAGGAGGTAACTCCATTATGTGGTTTCAGTTTTCACAGCAGAGTATGGGTTGAGGTCCTCAGCTGAGTGAAAGACAAAAGGAGGCTTGAGGACAGAAAAGAAGGTTTGGAATGTCTGCTGTGGGGAGTGAGACGGGACTCAATCAGGGGGTATACAGAGACTGCCTTACCGTAGTGAGGGCCCAGGTTGGATAACTTGGACAGATAATGCACCCATTTGGCATGGTTGGTTAGTTGTCCTTTGTTCTCCAAGAAGACCAAAATGACATCACTCTGCTAGAATCAAGTTACAGTGTTCGGCATGGTTAGGGGATGCCTGAAGGTGCAGCAAATCTGTCCAGGCAGACCAAGAACGCAGTGATGTGGTGGGGAGCCGAACCTCAGTGAGAGCAAAACAACAGAAGGAGCCCCTGGAAGGGAAGGAAGTTTGTCCACTGTGGGGCAGGAATTCCAGAGGGTACATTGGAAAGGCCAAGCGGGGCTGGAGTGGGATGGATCGGGGACGCGTGTGAGAGACTTGGGGGTGGCAATAGTTTGCTCCTATGTGGCTAGCTCAGGGATAGAGAGAGAAATACACAATAGGAGGTTGTGAATCGCCAGGGGAGTAACGAATAACGATGAAAAATCAGATTCTGATGGGGTGCTTGGACCCCAACCCAAAGACCATATCTCTGGTAATAACTCATGAGTGGGCTCCAATGAAGCAAATTGTCTCTCCCTGTTATAGTAACAAGCTAACCCTGTAAGAATTTCTCTTGTAGCTACAGAACTATCTCCTACTGACTCCTTCAGTTACTGTATACATTCCAAAAGTCAAGATATACATCCACTCTCCCATCCATCTTATCTAACAGGACATCGATTGGTAACAGGCAGGACAGGCAGGACATCCTGGGTCTTTGGTTCACTTAGTGATGTTGCAGGCCTAAAAACACACCCTTTGGTGGCCCCCTAGTGAACTCTAGGGGGTAAACCTAGTGGATAAAAGGCCTGAGCACAAGTGCAAAAATTTGCATATTCCTTTAAGAACTGGCCACTCCTTAATCCCCAGCCCTTCCTACCACCTAATTAGCATACTTGGCACACTATTCACTGACTTTTTCTATACAAGCTTTAGCCTCACCCCATTAGGTTGCAAGTTTCCTCAGCAGCTCCACTCACCTCATAAGCCTCACGACAAATTTTCGCCACTTGACTAGAAGATGAACTGCGTCCCTGAATTTTTTTTTAATTTTTTTATTTAATTTATTTATTTCCTTTTGGTGAGGCAATTGGGGTTAAGTGACTTGCCCAGAGTCACACAGCT